CCCCTCCCCAGCGCATGCATGCTTGCTTGCTTCTCATTAAGTTTAATTGCTTTGTAAAATCCTCCTTAAGTTATAATAGATCAATTAATGATTGATCTATATAGCATGTTTTCAAATTATGTATCTTTTTGCAAAGATATACTAACAAATTACGAGCTTATGCTTTTCATGATCAAGCAAAAGTAAAAGGTAGAAAGTTCAGATGCGGGGTATCGATACCCGGACCTCGCATGCTAAGCGAAGAAGTAAAAGGTACTAAGGTAGAGAATTCAGATGCGGGGTGTCGATACCCGGACCTCGCATGCTAAGCGAGCGCTCTACCATCTGAGCTCCATCCCCAGCTGCTTCTGTTCATCTTCTTACAGAAGAGACAAATAGGTCCAGGAGATAAAAAAAAAAAAAAAAATTGTTTGCCCCGGTCAATCCCCAGCTACTTCGGTCTAATTCAATTGTATCTTCTTACCCTGGTTTAGCAGAAGAGACAAATAGGTCTAGGAGATTAAAAAAAAAAAAATTCTGTTTGACCCCTCTATTATAAATTTTTTGCCTAACTCTGTTGGCAGGGGGTGGGTTATAGCAGCTTTATCAAGTTTTTTTTTAATTTCTTTATTGCCCTCTCAAGCCAAGTGGTAGGTTATAGCAGCTTTATCAAGTGTTTTTTATATTTCTTTATTGCCCTCTCAAGCCAAGTGTATAAAACGAGTTCTAAGGTACTAATATTTCAAATTTCAACGACAAAAAACCGCATGAAAAATAATATAACTATAAACTAATTGCAAATTATCCTAAGATTATATTAACTATTTTCTTTTTTTATTGAGAAGATATGAGAAGTTTTAAATTTAATTATATGCGTATTTTTCTTTTTTATTTTTTGTTGTTGTTATTTTAATAGCTGAATACACGAGAGGAAATGACCTTTGATTTCCTTGATCCTCAACACAGGGAGGCTGTCTTCAAATGTAATAATGTCAGGCAATGTTTTGTTGAATGGGAAGCAGAGAAAGATCGGCAACGGAAGTATTGTAAGCATTATTATGTGAATCATCAATTATGGAAAAAAAATTATTTAAATAGAATGACATGCTGTATATAAGTGACTGGAGAATATATAGAGTACAAAGAGGAAAATATACGAAATAGGCAGTGCAAGAAAAGAGAGGAATCCAATCTTTGACCCTTTTGAAACATGTGGCTAGATTGAAAATCTGAATTTTCTATATTTATGTTCTTTTTTGGCAAAATAAACAATCTTTACAGGGTTAAAAGCACTGTTTTCATTAGAGAATTAGCATAAACATTGAGCACAAGGGCAAATTTTCATTAGAGAAGGGGCCATTTGGCAGCCTTGCTTTTTACATAGAAAATTCATAAAAGCCCTTGTTCGTTTTGGTAGTTCAAATTTGTCCTCATTTTCAATACATTTCCCCCCATATTTCTTGATTGTCACCAAAAAATTAAGCTTTATATTTTTTCTTCGTTTACGATCGAACTAAACTTGCAGTCTTATACTACTCAAGAAGATTTCCTCTTCGGAACCCTTACTGTCAAGGAAACTCTCACGTACTCTGCTCATTTGAGGCTACCTAGTGCAATGACCAAAGATGAAATCAATTCTGTAATAGAAGACACAATCATGAAGATGGGACTTCAGGATTGTGCTGACAATAAGGTTGGGAACTGGCATTTGAGAGGCTTAAGCGGTGGCGAAAAGAGGCGGCTAAGCATTAGTCTTGAAATATTAACACAGCCTTATGTCTTGTTTCTTGATGAACCCACCAGTGGACTAGATAGTGCTTCAGCATTATTTGTCATTCAAGCTCTAAAGAATATTGCTCTTGATGGAAGAATAGTTGTTTGCTCTATTCACCAACCAAGTAGTTATATCTTTGATATGTTTGATGACTTGTGCCTCCTCTCAAGTGGAGAGACTATCTATTTTGGAGAAGCAAAGCTAGCTGTTAAGGTAAGTAGGATTTGATAATAGATAGAAATGGCAGAAACTGTTAAAATGAGTGATTGAGTGCTAACTTTATAATCTGGTCATCATGCAGTTCTTTGCTGAAGCAGGATTTCCTTGTCCGACAAGAAGAAATCCTTCAGATCACTTCCTTCGATGTATAAATTCAGACTTTGACAAGATGGCCTCAACTCTGCTGCGATCGCTGAGAGATTCTGTAAGTAGTCATGCATGCTTACTTCTGTAAACAACTTGTTCTGCTTCCTTACCAGCCTATCTTGTTGGTAATTCATCCTTGTGTAATAATGTAGGCAATCTCAGTGCCATCAAATTTCGAAACAAGTTATACTACAGAAGACATCAAAGCAAAGCTTATTGAAAAATACAGGAGTTCTGAGTATTCCATACACACAAGAAAAAAAATCCGACAAATTGCACTCATTAATGTAAGTAGTTTAATTCTTGATAATCTTATCTTACAATCTTTGGCTGCAGTAAACTTCTTCAGCACGAGCTGTTACGAGTCTTGCGACTTGTCGCTAAATAAACCTTCAAAAGAACACCACTCTTCCATAGAATCAAGAAATGTAACCCCTTTGACTAATAAAAAATTAGCTGATTGTAGGAAGAGCTTATGAGTGGATTGATTGAGAGCAGAAATAATTGGTGGAAGCAGCTCTACACACTGAGTATTCGTTCTTTCGTGAATATGATTAGAGACTTGGGGTATTTTTGGGTACGGACCTTATTCTATATTCTAATATCACTAGGTGCTGGAATTATGTACTTTGATATTGGCTTGTCAAACTCGGCATTCGTCACAAGAGCAAAATGCTACGCATACGTCTATGACTTCTTGATTTGCTTGTCTGTTGGAGGGTTACCCTCTTTTTTAGAAGAATGGAAGGTAGCGTACCATGAATTACTCAACGGGCACTATGGAGAGGCTGTGTTTATGCTTTCTAACTTCTTCGCATCATTCATTTTCTTAGTGATAATGTCTCTTTCTTCTGGTACAATTGTATTTTACATGGTGAAATTTCATCTGGGATTTTCCCACTATTGCTATCTCTGTATGAATCTCTTCTTCTGCTTTGCCATTATGGAAAGTGTGGCAATGATTGTTGCGCTGCTCGTCCCGAACTTTCTGATGGGTATAGGAGTTTCAGCTTTTGCAGTTGTAAGCAAAATTCCTAGCCACCGTATCTCAATTCTCATTATTTTTATGCTAGCTCTAAAAGAAGCTTATAGATTATATGATTTATCTGCCAACGTAGATGCTTTTGTCGTTGGCATCTGGACTCTATAGGCCACTGTCTGATCTTCCCAAGTTCTTTTGGCGCTACCCAATGGCCTATATCAGTTTCACTTCATGGGCTGTTCAGGTAAAGTCTTTCCAGTTCTGTTTCCAAGTCTATCTAGCTATGAACTTCAACACTGCTCACATTGGTATTGCCTCACTTAAAAAGCAATTTTGCATGTCAATTCTTCCCTTTGCAACCTTCTAACCCATAGACTTGCATAGAAGTTTCCGATAATCTCGCACGTTAAATCTCGCACGTTCTGCTGTGTGCATTGATTTGCATCGCCAAGCTATTGATATGTAATAAATTTATCATGCCACTTGAGAACAGGGTCAATACAAAAATGACATGCTTGGACTTGAGTTCGAACCTTTCGTTCAAGGAGAGCCTAAAATCCAAGGCAAGCAAATCCTTCATGATTTTTTTGGTGTTCGTGTGAACTATTCGAAGTGGTGGGATTTGGCTGCTCTCTTGCTGTTGTTGCTTTGTCACAAACTATTATTTTTATCAATACTAAAATACAAACAGAGATTAGTGTTGCTGCTGAGAAGGTTTTGTGCGAAAAGAACTTTGAAAGCCCTTGCCTTGAGACCTTCGTTCAGGAAGGAAAAATATGGCTCCTCAAGGAGAAACCAACCTCTCCATCCATTATCTGCTCAAGAGGGTCTTGCATCTCCTTTGTCTTAGCTTGTATACATGTCTTCAAGATTTTATTTTAGTTGTGTTTACTAGTGGCACTTGCTGAAGCTAGCTCAACTGAATTATTAAAGCTATGTTTGGTATTGCAGTAGTTATTATAGTTGTGGTTTGAAAAAAATTATTTTATAAAAAGTATTTTTAATTGATGTTGATTTGAAAAAATAGATATTTGGTTAAAATTACAGTTAAAATTGAGGTTGAAAAAAAAAAGGAATTTAATGTGTTTGGTTAAGAATACTTTTGAAATTGAGGTTATAAAATAATTTTAAAAATATATATTAATATTGGTGGTTTTAAATTTAAATATTATAGAATTAATTATTTCTATTACATCATGAAATAAAAAATATTTTATATAAAATATTTTTTATCATTCCATTAAACTATTTATAATTTCATTATGTATAAAATTCATCTGATGAGAACTACAGTTTTCATAAATTTTTTAGCATAGATAAAATATTATGAAGTATAAAATTGATATTATAGTACAAGTAAATTTAATTCACTTTATACTAGTTTTTTGAAAAAAAAAATATTATTCACATCACAGTGCGAGTAAATTTAATTCACTTTAAACTAATGATTTTTTAAAAAATATTAAAAAATCTAACACACTAAATAAAAAAGTAAACAGTGCAAGACAGTGCAAATAAATTGCATTGTTCATGTTAATTATACTGTTTAGTAAATAATGCAATTTGCATGAAAAGTATGAATTTGTTGCTTTTTATTAGCTACATTCTAAATATAAAAAACATGTAGGATCTATAAACAATAACTTTTTTTTTCATTACCAAACGATTGCCAACTACATTTTCATTGAAACGCAGCTGCAGCCGCATAGCTAAATACTATCTAAAATACTCAAACTTGAAGAGTTAACGCTATTTTTAGTGTTCTAAACATGATATTTTCATAGTTGAATTTTCATCTTTAATCCTGTTCAATTAGATTCATTAACATCTTTAAATGACTTAAAGCTTTTGTGTCTTTTGTTTTATGTTGTATCCTTAAGTTATCTTGTATCTTAATTATGAATTTTTTTTAAAAAAAAAATATTTTAAAGATGTATCCTTCGTATTAGTTTAAATATATTAAAAAAAATTAATAATTTTTTTTAGATATTAGCTAGAATCCACGTAGTCAAAAAAGGAAGCATATCTTTTTACTTAACAAGCTAAAAAAACATGCATGGTTTTCCTAAGCCACAAGGACCTAAATCGACAAATTGAAAATGCACGAACCCTTCTATTTAAGATAATTACTGGACGTGGGCTATGCTATGCCATGAATTTGTAAAAAATAATGTCCACGTGTCATGAGCCTATTTTAAAGAGAGAAAAAACTAACTGCTTCAGCTACATAGTCATGATCGAATTTAAGAGGTTGAATTTATTTTAATTTAATAAAAAAATAGATAACAATAGTAAATTGATAAAAATTATTCTTCTAAAAAAAGATCATGATTGTCTAGAAAAAAACATTAGAATCACGAAATTAAAATACAAAAGATAAAACTAGTCCAAGTAATCTTGAGATATCGTGATATTTATATTCATGTAACCTGTATACTAAACAAGGTTAACCTATAAAGCTTATGGGTTTTTTTAATAACAATCATAATTGTTTAAAAAAAAAACTCTTGAAAGTACAAAGAAGTTGAATAGAGGGGGGAGCCTGAGTCAATTTAGGAAAATATAATAGACTTGGATAATATAATAGACATGGATAATATGGGGCAAGTTAACATAAAAACTTCTAGTATATATTATAAGATTATAATAATCTAATAAAAAATAAATTTAATAAAATTACAAAGTCATTTTATTTTTTTAAAAAAATTTGAATAATAAAATTTAAAAAAAATATAAAAAAAAATATTAAATTACATTAATTTTTCAGATTCGTAATTTAGATTATTAAACTAGAAGAAATATATATAAAAAACTATAAAATTCAATTCTAAACAAATTAAATTTTAAAGAATAAATAAATAAAAAATCAACCACATGAAACGGAATAAAACGGAATGGGTAAGGAAATTAAAAAAATAATAATAATCAAAGGTCTAATCAAATTTTTAAAATCAAGAAAGCTTTATTGGATGTCCCAAATGAAAAATGAATTTTTTTCAAATCAATCCACAGGTGAAGTTGAGGAGTTCCCATTCTATGCTACTAATGGATGCATCTAATTGCTTCCAAAAGAACAGTATCTCCCATTATTACCAAAATGAATGAATGAAAAGAAAAGAAAAGAAAAAACATCATATGAAAACTAAGTACGTGAATATTCGCATAAGCAACGAGGTAAGGGATGGTGCAAGAATTAAAGGGAGGTAGGCCCAACCTAGGGCAAACTGCCCAACTGAACCTTCCCCTGACCAACAGAGGTCAAGAGGGGAGGTAAAACAGGAGGAAGATAGAAGAAGCAAGGGGAAAAGGCCGAACCGAGGCTTAGAGAGGGGGGGCGAAATGTTAGGGGTAGCCAAGCACTCCTATAAAAAACCATAGCCAAGCCCTCCTCCAAGCAGACCCAACTGAGCCCTTTTCTTTAAGCTCAATTGAGAAACAATTTTCAATCCTCTTTGTTTTTATATTTTAAAAAAATTTAAAAAAAAAAATTTTATTTTATTTTTTATTATAAATTTTTATTTTTTTATATTTTTAAATTATTTAACGTGCTGATATTAAAATATTTTAAAATCTTAATTATTTCTTTATATTTCTTTACCGTCATCAAAACCTTTCATTTATATTTCTTTAAGTATGGTTCCATGTTGTTATTTAAAGTTTAAGTTTGAAAAGGCAGCGAGAAAATAGTTTCTCAAAAATGCATTATTGTATTTGTGAAGACTTAATTAATTACAAGATAAAATTAATTTTAATATATGAAGTTACAATTCCATGGTAAAAGAAAGGAATCTTAAATCATTTGCTTTAAAAATTGAAGAATCTCATTTCGTTGGATGTTAGTTTTAAATTAATCTACTCTTATGTTAGTATATCATCATTTTAGTAGTAGTTTAATGGGGAATTAAGGAAGATCTCAGGTATTACATGTATATGTTTTTTTTTTCCCTATCATTTCCCATCTCCTTCGATAGCTTGCTTGTTGTGTGGGATAACTCTTTTTTAAAAAAAAAAAAAATTATGTTGACAATATTTGGTCTTACAAGTTTTTGACTTTATATAATTATTTAAAATTAATTCATAGCCCATCTAATCTAATGTTTGAAATTGTTGGGATGGTCAACTTTTTTAGTCAATAATTTATTTTTTAATTAAAAAGTTCTTGAAATTGTTGGGATGGCCACCGCAGCTCCTGCCCCGAGGCCAATGGACTTTAAAATATTCCTGTTATTTAAGAGTAAGGGCAGCACTCTCCGGATGTGACTAATATTGAAAGATAGATCATTTTGGAATAGCAATGGTAATTCTAACTAGAAAATAATTATATAAACCAACATTAATTTAAACATTAGATATTACCAGTTTTTAACCCTGCTTCTCCACGGGCAATGTTTTCGATGAACAAGAACATTGTTGATGGTAATGAATATGTACCTCTATTTCTTTGGAATTTATTGTTAAGAATATGTTAGTTCTACCCTACCATTCACTGAGATCCCAAACACATGAACAATTTGTTAGAATTGATTTTATTAAAACACGCAATGGACTTTTTTTTAGGTCTAAATTAACAGTAAGCAACTCATATTTGAGGTTGAAATCCCGTCGAGACTTTGTAATCCAACATGACTTCAATATGGAATATTAATATTTTTTATATAAATAAATTAAAAATAAATGAAAAATTATTCTTAATAAACTTTTAGAAAATATGAAATATTAATGTTTTTTTATATACATAAATTAAAAATAAATGAAAAATTATTCTTAATAAACTTTTAAATAGCAAAAGTTTTAAATTTAAAATAACTTTTTACATTGGATAGTGGACTTGTGTGCTTATGAATTTGAACATAATTTTGGTTAATGAAAAATATTTTTTTTATTAAGTTCTATTTAATTAGTAATTTATTTTAGTATTTAAATTGTCTTAGTATATAAAGCAATACATTAATTATGTGAAAAAAATAAATATATTTATGATTAATTTATGAACCATGAACATTCCATGAAGATTTTTTATGATATAAACACTCTTTATAATTAATAAATATTTATGAATTATGAATAATTAATGTTTTGATCTTGGAGTCTTGTAAATAGGTTTCTTGGATGGATGAAAATAGATTTAGAAATTTCTTGGGTCCTTTTCTCTTTTTGTTTTTTGTTTTTTTATACTCTAGAGCTTAAGTTTGGTCTATGTTAAGATATATTGAGTATAATTTTTTTAAGTTTGTTAACTTTGTTTAGGAGTTACTAGTAATCCTTGTTTAGTTTATAGTTTTTTATGATAACTAGATTAATTGTAACTTGTATAAACTATGAAAATTTCTTATAAATAGGCTTTCAACTAATGTTATAAACAAAACAATATTGTTACTTTTATAAAAAAACAGGGATTTCAACCAGTATATGGATGAAAGCCCTTTACATTCTAGCAACGTATATGACTTCCTCCAGCAATCAAAAGATGGCTCTCTCAAGAGTGTTAGAAGCGAGGTGGTGTGGGAGAGGTGGCACGTGTAGGTGTAGAGGCGGCAGTGAGGATTTGAAAACATTGTTTTTCTCTCTTTCTTTTTTTTTCTCTCCTCTCATTGGTATTTGTACTAGCTTATCCAAAATTAAAAAATATCCTATTATTTTTTTATGTAAAATATAATTTTTATTTTTTTGTTTTTATTTTTACTTTGAATTTTTTTATTTTTTTTATTTTATTTTTTAATATTAAATTGATTAAGAATTTACTTTGATGGTTTTTTTTAATGAATAATCTCAGTTTTATGACTCGATTATGAGTTTGAAAGGTTAATTTAAGTTGATATTGTTATGTTTTTAGATCCTTTTACTACACTAATTTTCTTTTTCAATTTTATCTTTTAATATAGAATATTTTGAAAATTAGACTTTATAATTTTCTTTACTTTTCTTTTTTAT